TCCAAGATAATTGATGGTAACTAAAAATTATAAGGCTCGGGGAATGTCATCAGGGCACCAGCCACCCCCAGGGTTGGTTAAAACTCCTCTTGCCCCACACAAGCTGGCAGAGCCAGGTCTTTAATCCTTTCCAGAAAGCCGGGAGGGAAGGGGCCAGACACACTTCTGGGGGGAGATTATTCCAGAGGGTGGGGGCCACGGCAGAGAAGGCTCTCCTCCTGGGCCCCGCCAGCCGACATTCTCTCTCTCCAGTTATATTTTTATTCTAATTTATTTTATAAATAATAAGTAATTTATAATAATTTAATACACCACAAGCATATACACACATATGAAAAACTTCCTTTAATCATGCACGTACACAATCCAAGATCAAACAGTCATCACAAACTGGGCCACTACAAACCTCTTTTTCTCTTCCCCTTTCTGCGCCTTCAAGGACTTTCAAGTTACAAATTGTCTAAGGCTGCTTAACCCAAGCCCTAATTCCACCACCTTTTGCCAGAAAGTCCCAGAGTTAAAATGGAAAAACAAAAACAGGGCTCGAACGAAGAACGCAGGGCCAAAGTTCCTTCAGACCAGCATCTTGCCACAGCTGCCTATCAGGAGCATTCAGCGCGTTCATTATGTAACACAGAAGGGGAATACTAAGACCTGCTCCGTTGTACCTCCCCTCAGAGCAGTCGGGCTCTAAGGCGCAGGGGCAGCGATTCAGGAGAGCAGTACCGTCGGTAGCCCAGCCTTCCACGAGTGTGCCTAAAGTCACCATAACAGCCGCAAATGGGCGGCCACCACACCTGAAGCCACGGAATTCCAGTTGTGCAAACTCTATGCAACGAACTCGGCTTTGCTGCAACCACAGCCGACCTATCTCTGCGGTTCTTTGGAGGAAAAACGCTATACGGTACAGCTGAAAACTCCAATCGCACGTATCGCTAGAAATTTACCACTGGAGGAGGAACAAACATACTAAGACAACTTTCCGTCGGGGCCCCATTCTTCGCCCACGGGCGCGCCCACTCCAAGCAACCACCATCGCTCGACTTGCCCACTCTTTCAACCCCTCCCCCACCGCGCCAAGACCGGCAGAGACGTCGATGAGTCAGCATGCTAGAACGTGATCGTTGCGTCACGATAGGAGGGCGGGGCTAGGCTGAAGCCAGAGCGCCCAGCGTTAGTAGCCCCCGGGGGGAGAAGTGGGCGGCGCCTCCTCTGCTTGACTCGCCTTCTGGGTCCAACTCGGAGCTAAACTCGCTGGAGGGCCAGGATCGCCCCCCCCGCCTTGGAGCGCTCTGTTGGGAAGGGCCTGGGGCAGCCTCTGCCTCCATACGGCCCCTCTCCTCGGCCGCTGCGGAGTCCCTGCCCGCGGGGCGCCGGGTCTCACCTGCGGCATCTCGACCTCCATGGGGA